CAATTCTGAAAAGACATGATTATATGGTAGTGAGGGAATGAAGTGATTTATCAAAGTAAAAGTGGAAACTAATTAGTAATATGTAATTTTATGGCAGTTCTTTAAAAACACTTTTTTGACTCACCTGGAGCGAGGAGTCATGATCCCCGGGGACATGCGGGGGTTTTTCAGAGGGGAGATGTACACGTTGTTGCTCCCAGGCACCCGGAGGGGGGAGTTGGGGAACTTGTAGGGGCTGCATGGTATTTGTGGGATCGGAGAGAGGGTGGGTGGCTAAAAGAAACAGAACAGCAACAATGAGAGGGTTTGTTAGCCGTGTGAGTTTATCAGATTATGAAGGTATCAAAGTCAAACTGCCGATCCAACGTGGTGGAGGGGGGGGGGCTCACCCTGGTGGAGGCGTACTGCAGGATGTTGGTTTTCAGCCTCTGCATGAACACTTGGTTGTAGAAGACAATGATGGAGTCGTAGTGGCCTTCGGAGATTAACACGTGCTTAAAGGTCTGCAACATAAAGGCAGACACAACAAATGTTCACAGAAACATTGAAATGAAGATTAAAAAAGCAACAAAAGGATAGTTATTAGCATTAAAGGTGTCACCTCCTGGTTGGTGTTGGCCATGTTCTTGTACGCTGTGACGATGGTCTTGAAGCGCAGATCAACGCTCTTCACTTTACATATGGCATACATGGCTGACATCATCAACTGCAGGAGAGAACAATGAGAGGCGGTTTAAAAAACAGAGACAAAAAAAGGCAAGAGGAAACAGACGGGTGTATTTAGGGTACAACAGACGGGTGTATTTAGGGTTACCTGGTCGAGGTGGCGGTCTCTCATCAGCTCGTGCTCGTGCTGCAGCGTGTGCTGGAACAGAGTCCATATGATGGGCTCCAGCTCGGGGTGCGAGGACAGCAGGTAGGAGCACAGGATCTTCAGCCTGCTGTAGGCCAGGCGGTACACTGCAGAGAGAGGACACCACAGAGACGGTTGGAAATGAATTCACTCGATTTTTCACCTTGTGTTGTATGTCTCCACGGGAGGTTCCCTAGATATTTGTGTGAAATAGTCATAATTAGCAGATTAACTACTGACTTCAAAAACATGCTTTGTGAGGTCACAGTGACCTCAATCTGACCAAGGGAAAACAGTTTTTCTGACAGTGATGTTGATCAATGAGAATAAATATCTTCGGTTGGAAAGTCAGCTTACATTTTTTATAGAAGAGGCTGAGAGAGTTGGACTTTGGGAGTCGTGCGTTCTGGGTCGAAGGCTGAGAGGAAACCTGAGAGCTGGGCGGGGCGGGGGAGTCAGGAGGCAAAACACGGGAGCCGGGACGCATGGGGGAGAGGTATCTGTAGGGACAATAGGGAAACCGCATGTCTTTTACATCATAAACATTAAAGATAACAATATGTTAAAATCACACAATGGGAGGTTTTAGTAAAACAGGTTCAAATCCTCAGAGAGAAAGGCTCATGGTGAGTTAGTCATGGAATTTAACAATGTCTTTTTACTAGTATGATGCATGCAAGTTGCACACTATGTGACTTGTTGTAATGACTCATAGTGGTTTCCCAACAGCTTAAGGAAGTGATAGGGTCTAATAAAGTTCTCAGAGCTGGCTGCAACTGCCAGAGAGATAAGTAGGTCGTGGTGGACTCACAGGTCGGCTGCAGTGTGGTTGTGCTGCAGCGGTTGGCTGAAACTGGCCGGGGTCTCCACCTGCTCCGCGGCGCCGCTCTCATGCTCCTGTGTTAGCAGCTCAAACAGTGGTGAGCCCTGCAGAGACACAAACAGGATTATATATAAATATATTTACAATATTTTGCAGCCTCTTTCATGGCTTACATGTTTATTCAGAAAAACATTTACATTTTACACACCTAATTTCCTTTGCAAAAACACACCTGTCAAATTATAACTAGGGGCTGCTGATATGTCTGTTCCTCATTGTAACACAATTTACCCAAGGACACTCCCTATAGCATCCTCTCTGATTTGACTGATAACCGAAAGACCCTCTAAATACCAACGTATCCAATCCTGCCTACACACTGGAAATATCCTCAACAATTCTCAAACAACATTCAACTCCAGATGAAATGACATACAGACCAGTGTAGTACTGGATTATCAGCATCTTTACACCAGGCCGAAACTCAGTGTTGAGATCATGCAGGGCAGTGGGTGCGGTTTACTACTCAGCCATTTGCACAGCGGCTGCAGGTATAAACCTGTCGTTAGCACATTCTTTGTGCAACACATGCCACACCCGGCTGTAGCGGATGACACATTTTGAAAGTACACTTGTATTCGATTGCTATGACAGCATGCATAGCGGATGCCAACACTGCAATGTTTAGGAAACTGTTTATTTAAGTACAATTTTAAGATTTGGGAGGTTGATCTAAACACACCTCTATCAGTCAAGAAGAAAATAACAATGTCAGACTACATATCCAAATGAGTGTAAAAACAAAGCAGTGATGGGAGGACTTTGACTCCGGTGGACGCTCCTCCCTGTGTGTTTACAGCCCAGTAGATCGTTGTGTAGCAGCAGCCGTGCAGTCTGCTAAGAGGATTCTGGTTTCCAGTCTGGCCGGAGCAGAGTCAAACCTCTGGAACTCAAGAGGAACAAACACCATGCCGCGCGGGGCTGCTGCAGGAACTGACAGGAAACAAAAGAAGGGAAGAACCACTCGAATGCTCACGCCGTTGAGGAGAGGCACACGATTCTACTCTCACGGGGGATCAGAGCTGTGAAAGACTGGGAAACGTTCTGAACGAGGACTTCTGACTGCAGGACTTTCACTTTCAGAACATAAGGACTTTGGATACTAATACAGGTATTTTGAGGAGTTGCCGTATACTTTCTGGTATATAACATAACCACACAAACTGAGCCTTCTTTAGTCTTCAAGGACTGCATTTCCTACCCAAATGAAGCGTAACATTTAGCTGCCTAGAGCACATGGTTGGATTAAGAGACTGGATTTTTATGACTGACACAAGTACACGATTGAGGAGCACATTTTAACTCTGTAAAAGTTACAACCCGGTATAAAAATGGATAACCACACCGCAACCACACCAAGCTCCATTCACATTTTCATGAATTGCAGCAAGAATGACGGCTTCAAGTACACACTGTACAGCTCGGTTTTCAGCGTGGTGTTTGTTGTTGGTCTTATATTTAACATGGTGGCTATTTACATTTTTGGCTGTACACTGAAGCTGCGGAACGAGACCACGACCTACATGATAAACCTTGTGGTTTCAGACTTTCTCTTTGTCCTGAGCCTGCCTTTTCGGATTGTTTACTTCATTAGACGCGATTGGCTGTTTGGAAGCGTGCTCTGCAAGATCTCTGTGGCCCTGTTCTACACCAACATGTACGGCAGCATCCTCTTCCTCACCTGCATCAGTGTCGACCGCTTCCTGGCCATCGTGCACCCGTTCCGCTCCCAGGCAATTCGTACTAAGAGGAACGCCAAACTGGCATGCTGCACAGTGTGGGTGTTGGTTCTTTCTGGAAGCATTCCCACTGGCTTTCTTTTGGACACCACTTCACCCAAAAATGCCAACTCCTCTTCCAACTTCTGCTTTGAAAACTACTCTGAAAATCAGTGGAAGGCGGAGCTGTCCAAGGTGGTGGTGTTTATTGAGACTGTGGGTTTCATCATCCCATTGTTGCTCAATGTCTTCTGCTCCATAATGGTGCTACGGACACTGAGGAAACCCCAAGTCCTCTCCCGCAGCGGGACCCTCAACAAGACAAAAATATTAAGGATGATCTTTGTGCATATTTTCGTCTTCTGCTTCTGTTTCATTCCCTACAATATTAATCTCATATTCTACGCCATGGTCCGCTCCAAAGTCCTAAAGGGATGCAACGTAGAATCTGTGGTCAGAACCATCTACCCCATAGCGCTGTGCATAGCAGTGACCAACTGCTGCTTTGATCCAGTCATTTACTACTTCACTTCAGAGACCATTCAGAGCTCCATCAAACGCAAGTCCACAGTATGGCACAACGGGGCGAGGCTATTCGAGAGACTACAGATGGACAGCTCACAAAGCAGTCCAAACACAACACCCAAAAGCCTGGCCCTGCAGTCTCCGAGAACCCAAGAGTATCACAATGAGTCCACAGTCTGATGTCGACTCCATTATGGAACATGATAAATAATGAATTGATTGCTGGTGATTTCAATCTGAGGACGTAGTTGACCTCAATAACAACACATCAACACAACGGTTACTAAGGAGTTACTCTCATCTACTGGACGCCACAGAGCAGAGACTTTAGACTTGGAGTTAAGACACTGATCCCTTTTAAGTCGATAGAAGAGTGGAACAAGTCAAGGAAGAACAGGAAGTGCGTCGCAGCATAGATACTCTTGTGTGGGCTACCAGTTCACAACACAAGTTTGAAAACAAGTGTGTATTAGTGGAAATGACAGGTGTGTGTTTTAGCCATGGTAATGTGCACTGGGCTGAAAATAAGTTTCAGCTTTTGCACAGATGACATTGTAACTGTAGTCTTATTTTCCAGAGCAGATTCTCCTTTTTAAAAAGTCTGCTTTGGCAATGCTGAACAAGTATTACAACCCTTTTTGATGTAGTGTACATTTTACAAGTATGTGTGGCCTGATTATGGCTTTGAACCACTTTATGGAGAATTGCGTCTATAGCAGCTTTTTCCCCATTCACTGAAAGCGAATAAAAGCGTTTTTAACTTAAAAGGTTTTGAGTTTGAAATTCGTAACTTGTTCGATAGTGTGGTGATATATTTGACAGTATCAGGGTATCAGTTTTTCATATGAAACACTTTGGGTGCAACCGAATGGTTTGTCGAGACTGATTAGTCATACAAGCACCAGCGACACAACCACAGGTACTGTGCGCTATGAAGGCACCTGGTACAATGAGTCAATATTTAACAGATGCACATTGCACCGGCCAGCACAGCACTAACACTGCAAATGGCCTTATCTCAATAGGTGGTTATATCTGTAGACATGCTGGGATGATGACAAAACTTGAAGCCAAATTTGATGAGAATTATTTAAAAGATCTCAGCTAGGCTGGCTACACATCGGACCATTATGTCTGTTGAAAACAGCTGAGAGAAAGTGGAATATGCTGCAGCTTGAATATTTGTTCATTCTTGGAGAAGCTGTGTGCTGCAAGACTGAGCATTGCTGCATTCCTCATGTTGCCCGAGGGTCTGCAGTGACAGGGGTAGACTCATCACTATCGCTGCTGTGGATTGTGAAACTTCAGCAGGCGAGCAACAACATGCCTCACGAGGGAGAAGTGCGTTTACAAAATAAGGCACATTAATGGTTGCTGCAATCCTGAGAAAGTTCAGGAAAATAACTTGGAATGTAAACTTTAAAAGAAGAAAAGCAGTCTTTTTTTGCCATGTTTGGGCTGTGTTGATTACATCACTTAAATAGACTTAATAGAAAGAAGCAGCTGGACCTTTTCCAATCAGCATAAAAGCAATATTTTAGTGGATAACTGGTTTTAAAGCAGGGTAGGTCGTTCAAATGAGGGTTGGTTTGATAATCACACAACCATGTTCCAGTTTCTCAATCAAGACATGTTGTCTTCCCCATATATTACTTGTACATTTCCATCTAAATGTGTCTGATAAGGACCAAGTGGTGTACAGTTAAATGGTAATGTTTTTTATTAGCCTAATATTCACCAAATCAAGATGATTCAAACAGAGCCTAACATAGCTTTAAATAAATTCAAATTTTGTTTTGGAAAATCTGATGTGAAAATGAAATAGAATCCCTTTTTACTGCATTTTGATTTGTTTGAATAATTCAGACCTACATTACATGAAAAGGCTATTATCCACTAACTCAGATCTACACACTGACTTGTTGATCCCTGCCAGACCCAAGGCTGACACACAGGACACACTTTCAGTGAATTATTGCTATTCCTTTATCTGCACAGTTAATGATTACCTCCAATCAAGCGTGTATGTTTTTAACAAGAAGCCATAAACATGACACCCACCATGACAGTCATGAAACAACCTGTGCTTGATTGTAAGGCTGATCACAAAATGCAGTCAAATATGAAAAGTCGTTTGTTGAAAATAACAAGTCTTTCCTCAAGCCAACTGTGTGATGAGTCATTTTAAAGCTCATCAAATGTTTTTATATCAGGTAAATAAAACAAACTACAAGACATGCGGCTAGGAGAGGAGGGAGAGGAGAGGGAGAGAGAGGGAGACCCTGACCTGTGAGTAGGTGTAGGCGTGAACTGCTCCCATCAGTAGCATGTGCACCGTTACAGCATCCTAACAAATGATCCAGAGTCTACAAGAATCACTTCATGACTGCGACTTCATACTGGTGAGTTTATCTTCCAATATCCTTCTCAGTTTTATATGCAAACACTAGAAAATACTTCAATATTTCAATTTAATGAAATGAAAACAGCAATTTACTGTATGAACCTATCAAGATGTAGTAGAAACTTAACAGTTGAATCCACAAAAAGTATCTAATGAGAGAGAAAATGTAATGCTTGAGAATTTCTTTGGCTTTTAGGGCTAAGGAACCACCGAATAGGATTTGATCTTAGGACACAAAACATGCTTTGCAATTCTTAAAACAGCATCACGATCATTTCAACAGCTCATCAGACACTCAGTGTGACAAGTGAAGGATTATACAGGAGTTGATTTCAGATCAATAATGCAGACAACATAAATATGAAGGGAGAAAAAGTGTTTTGAAGAAAATATGTTTCTCAATGCCTTGGGTCATAGAGAAAAGAAGTCTTGTTACTGAGGATTCAAAAGAAAATGAAAATGTAATCGAGAGGCTACCCGAGAGTTGACTGAAAGTGATGATCGATGTTCATGGACTCAAAACAGTCTCACATTGTGTATTTTAAAATGTATCTTAATAATATTATTCTTCAGTCATCGGTATTGTTTAACACAATAGTTATTTTGGGACTGGAGTGTTTAGAGAATTACGTAAAGAGGACAAGGTAGAAAAAGATCCTGATGACGTTATGTATTCCAAACGCAGGAAAAAGAGGCATTTGTAAAGAGTCCTCACAATCATACTCTTACCAATAAACACTCAAACATACTTAGCTGGATATTTGATAACGCATCGCAGACTAAAGCCTAGAACTGACTATCAAGGTAAATCAACAATCAACTTCACCAAATGTGATTTTACTGCAGGGGAACAGTGTTAGATGGTGAGGTGATTCTTTCCCCCCCCCCCCACTGCATGTAATGAAACTACATGTTTGCTTGTTTTATGAGCAGGAAGTTGCAGTCAAAACTTTATTGACAGTTAGACTATATCCTTACATATGAAATATATATATATGTTAGCTGAAGCTGTGTATTCATGTCACCTCAACATATTTACATTCCATAAAAAACAGCAGTTTAATAAGGTTTTACAAGCCACGGGTTTAACTGCCATTAAACCTGTTCTTTTCACTCACTGTATGTTCACTTTAATCTTATCTCCTCCAGGGATAGGAGTGACACTGCGTTAAGTGTGCTGGAAAAGTCAATCATTTTAAGACATGGACGTGTGGAATATGAGTGATGTGGCAGCCAAGCCTGTGTCCCCTCTGTCTAACTGCACGTTGGACACCAGCTACCGCTTCACCTTCTATCAGGTGTCCTACAGCATCATCTTCCTGCTGGGGTTGGTCACCAACAGCCTGGCTCTGCGCAGACTGTGTCTGTCTCCCTGCACCATGAACAGCACAGCCATTTACATGGTCAGCCTCTCTGCTGCTGACATGTTTTTTGTAATCTCTCTGCCTCTGAGAATATTCTACTACCACCAGAGGGCCAGAGCCAAGACAGGAGACTTGTCCAGTTGGACTTTTAGTGTGGCGTACTGCCACCTCACTTTCACCCTCAAATACATCAGCCTGTACGGGGGCATCTTCTTCCTGGTGTGCATTGCTGTGGACCGTTACTTTGCCGTAGTGCACCCGCTGGCCTCTACGCTCCGCAGGCTGCGTGTCGCACAGCTGGTGAGTGGGGGGATCTGGTGCCTGGTGCTGGGGCTCAGTGTGAGTCTGCCTCTGCTGCGCTTTGCAGCCGCTCACCAGCACCAGCCCTGTCTGCTGGACCCCTCCTCCCAACGCCACCGCAAAATCATCCTGGTAGCTCTGGGCCTAGTCTTGGGCTCATTTCTGCTGCCCGCTCTGCTTCTCCTCTGCAGCTACTGCAGGGTGCTGAGGGTGCTTCGCCATCCGAGACACCGCTCTCGCAGCCAGCGCCGAGGACGCCAGCACACTCTCACCATCATTTACTGGGTGCTCGGCATCTTCCTGCTCTGCTTCGTCCCCTATCACATCAACCTCCTGGGATACACTCTCACACACGTGGGACTGCTGCCCTATTGTGGCCTGGCAAAGGTGACCAAGGCGGTGCACCCCGTGGTGCTTTCACTAGCAAGCTCCAATTGCTGCCTAAATCCACTCATCTACTATTTCTCCAGCAGCATGTTGCACAGGGAGGCGCCCGGGGGAGGCAGTGGCAGCTAGTGACACGGATCATTGCTATCATTATCTTAAAAGCACTCGATTATGATTCATTCAATTGTCCAGGACTTTTTCTATTCTACTACTACAGCATCCTGTTGCTCCTACTGTGTCTGCAGTTCTTCAGAAGTTAAACTAAGATAACTCTGTGTGTGTTGAACATGTACTCTGTATTATTGTAAGGAATTATAATGTTTGTGTGTTTGCTTTGGTGCCATGCTACTATAAAGAAGAAGCACAATGACAGCTTAGTTATTTTGTTTTGTGTACTCCGACAGTTTAATGTGCCAGTAAAATATTGATATGTCATGACTTTTTTTATATGTAGTGAATGTAACATGTTGCCTCATTTTCCAGAATGCTGCTCGGACCTTGTAAAGTATGTTGATCTTGTTTATGTAATTCTTACAATGTAGTAATAATACCTTAGAAAAATAATTGTGTGTATTTCTTTCTTTGGCAAATGATTACAGATGTAATATTGACATGTTATGTATGCATTAACCTCTTTAACATCCTGGGAGATTATTGCTAGCATACTGTAGTGGTGATGAGAGATCAAACTCACCGGCCTCCATGCAATCCTCTCCATGATGAGGTTCTCGCTGGTCTCCAGATGTTTGACGATATCTTTGCTCAGAGTGGGCTCCGCCTTGATGAAACTCTCGATGACTTTGTAGAAGTCGAACGCAGAGAGGTTGACCACATCCAGGATCCAGGGGAAACACACGTTTGTCTCAACGGGATCACCAGAGCCCCCGTGGTTGTATCCTCCAGTCTTAAAACTGCTCTCTAATCATGAGAAGAAAACAACATTATTACAACTTGCTACAGATAACTGTAAGATGCAAGGAATTATATATTAAAGTTATTTCCCATTTAGTTTAAAAATTACCTCCATAGGTCGCCATCACTACCTCCAAAGCGCAGGCGAGCAGTGATGTGTGGAACGTGGAGTCATTGAGGAGTTTACTGGAAGTAAAACCATTTGATTTAGCTCAAGGCAAATAACCCTTAAATGCTTATCTATTCTTCACCTCAAATAAAAATATATATAAAGCATGCATGAACAAGTCATTACAATGACTGATTTCATAGTTGGGATTTAATAAAAACACATACCTGAAATTCTGCACGGAAAGTCGCTTCTCTTCCTATAAAATGGGAAGGGAACAACATGAATACGTTATTTCAGACATGTATAAAGTCTACAGATCATGGTAGTTGCCTTCATTCAGATATTCTCTTTGCTCTTTAAAGCATAGGAAGTAAAAAAAAAGGCAAAACAAGTAATTGTTAGCAAATATAAAGTAGATTTATCAATTATGGATTCCTAAGATACATTGTTTTGGGTTATACTGGGAACTGCTACATTTAAACTTACCTAAGTGTTTCAAATAAATAAAAACAATGCAAATACAAAGTAAGTAAATAAAAAACAGTTGGAAACTTAATAAGTCAAACAAATCAATTACCGATTTCAACATCGCTTCCATGACTTTGTAATACAGTCTGACGCCGAGTTTAAATCTCTGAAAGAGAAAAGAATACACACAAGTCAGTGACAAGATTATTTAAGCACTGGAGTGTTGCCATTGTTGCTCATTGTCTTCTTCGGTGTTGGTTTATACCTGCAAACCGAGAGCGACACAGTGCAGGCCGACAGCCTGGCCAAACCTCTGGCTGAACACCTGCCCGAGGGTCTCCAAGCGCTTCAGCACGCCCTGCGTCGGGTCCACGGTGCAATTCTGATCACAGGTGAGAGGAAAGCAGGTCCAATTAAGTTAGTAAAAGTGCAGTTTCATGGGGCATTTTAATCAGTGGCAACCCCTCTAGAGACTCACTTTGAAATATGTAGCCAGGTTAGTGGATGGCTGATCTCCACTGGAGGTGAGGTCCCCTCTCAACTGCTGGATGGAGTTCATCGCAGCTCTGATGGGACAAAACACAAATCAGACAGTGCTGAAGGATGGACATTAGAAGGGAAAGGAGCCGTTTTGAGCTCTGCTACTAAAAACTGATTTTTATTACGTCACATGGGGGAGCAACTTTCTCGGACTCCTTCCTTTTGCCCAATCCGCGGTAGTAGTTTGTAGTTTTGAGCGGTTGTGATTTAGTGAGCTGGTATTGTTTCGGTAATTTTACATTGCATTTCACAATTTGTAATCATGGTGAGCTTGTGTTTGTGCAGGTTGCACAAACTCCAGCCTGTCAGGACATCGAGTCCACAGTTTCCCTCACAGGAAAAGGACCGGAGCTAGCTTTCGTTCCTGGGTGCGTTGTGCGAGGTGCATCCACCTTCCTGCAGCACATACTCTCCACAGCTGAAGCCTATCAAGCAAAACGTTTATCAGCAAACCGTATTACATCCCTCTCCCCCCCTTCGCTGCTCTCTCTCTCCCCCCTCGCTGTTCTCTCTCTCCCCTCCGGTACACAGCACCGTAAGACGTAGTGTGGAGTTGCATTAGGTAACGCTGTGGTGGCTGTACTGCTCCAGCCGTCTCCTTTGTGTTTGTTTGTTTGTTTGTTTCCCCCTGTCTGTGTTGTTTTTGTGGGCGTGGTGGCTGTCACTCCTGGCTCAACCTCCACTCACCTGCTGCAATCAGCTGTGCACCCTCCCCGACTACACAACTGCTTTCCATCAAGCCATTTACAACGGCATATCAACGGAGACTACACAACCTTTCTCCGCCAGATCGTCAAGTATCAGCCGTATCTCACGTCTCCCCTCCGGTACACAGCGCCGTAAGACGTAGTGTGGAGTTGCATTAGGTAACGCGAGATACGGCTGATACTTGCGCATTAGTTTCTGTTATGGATCAGTATCAACAGTCCTGCCAGTAACGTTACTATATTATCAATACTACTTTAGTTATAGCCTGATATATGATAACTTATAGCCAGTGGCGGCCGGCCCATAGGGGCGCCGCCCACCCTCTTCCCACATGTTTGATTGTCATTAAAAATTAAACATAAATAAAAAAATATATTTAAAAAAAAATAGTTTTTATTTTATTTTTAATGAACAAGGTAAATATTATATAATTGGTATCAGTAAAATGTATAATCTACAATAAAATGTCGTCAAATTTTTTTTTACGATATCTAAAGTTACTGATAAGTCACATGTTTCCTGCCTGGCCGCAGCGTGTATCATTAGATAATTACCCTCTCTCGTCCGGGCGGTAGAAAGGAGCCCTCAGCCAGAGCAGCAGCAGCCAACAAGCTGACTGTTGCTATCTGTAAACTATGCCGCCGAAACATAATTTCAGCCAATCAGCGTCGTCAGATCTGATGCTCAAAGGGCGCCGTGTCAGCGCCCTGGCCTGTGTGTCTGTGAGTTGTTTGGACTCGTATCCAAGGTGACGCTACAGTAGTTGTCGAGGATGGCTGCGTCTCGGTGCTAGTGGATCGCCGGAGCTGTAGATTAACATTTACATGCTTATTGTAGTTGTAAGGGCAATGCCTGTAGCACCATGGAGCATATGTGTGGGCTGGACCAGAGCCCTAGAGCTAGAGCTCTGGGCTGGACCTGTATTTTACAGGAAAGGAGTGAGCAGAGGGTGGAGTTGTCGATTCTTGTTCAGTTGTCATCTTCCTCACCCTCTCAAACTTTGAGTTGCGCGCTACAATGGGAACCAAACAATGGTGTAGCTGTATTAAAGTCCGAGTGGAAACAGTCGTGAGTAAATCTGATTTTGTCAGAAATCGGGAGAAATATGACCCCGGGAGGAAACCGGGGAGAGGGCAATGAAATCGGGAGTCTCTCGCGAAAATCGGGAGGGTTGGCAAGTATGACACACACGCACGCACGCACGCACGCACGCACGCACGCACGCACGGTGGGCCCCACCCTCGGGCTCCCTTCCGGTATAAATAGGAAGGAGGCCCGACAATCTGCTCCCTCTTTTCTTCAGCACACCGTTACTGAAGCGCAAGAGACACTTCAATTGCAGAGTAAAAATGAGTAACAATTGTGTGAGAGATTGTCCCTCATGTGAATCTGGGTTCATAATGAGTTATGACCAGCACGCAGTATGCGAATCCTGCCTGGGGTCAGAGCACGCTTACGCGGCTCTAAACCAGCAGGTAGCATGCACACACTGTGCCCGTCTCCCCTCGGGCGACAGGAAGCGGAGAGCGGACGCTCTTGCTGCTGCGGCCGAGGAGGACGATTGGCCCGTCCAGGCTTACGAGCCCGCGGACGGGGGCCGAGTGTCCCTGGGGCCGAGTGCCGGGCAGGAGTCCGACAACTCCTGCCCCGCCTCCCTCCACGGTTCACCGTTCGGTTCTCCCCTCCCTCCTCTCTGCCAGCCGAACATGCTTTCCCCCTCTCCGTCACCACAGCGCTACCGGCGATAGGTGGCATCCTAGGGGAACTGCCGGAGATCATACGCAAGGCGGCCGCCTGCAGAGATCTCCCCGTTCCCCTAGCTCAGGAGAGGTGTGCTCCGGACGACATAACCAGAGTTTTTTCGCGGGTACAGACGGTCAGGAGTGACCCGATCTGGCCACGTTTCCCGGCCATCAGGAGGTTCCAGGAGGGGGCAGCGGCGAACCCGAGGACCCTGAAGGCTCCGATGGCCACATTTGTTCCCCTCAAGGTGGAGGGGTTCACAGATGCTGGTTTCCCAACCACCCCTTCTCTGGAGCCGAGCTTGACGGCGTTTTTTGGGTAAGACAGGCCAACATAATCGCCGGACGGCGCCCTACGTTGAGCTCCCCCAGGGACCAGTAGGCTATGTCGCCGCCAGGCCGACCGGGTGCACCAGTGTGCCTTTCAGGCGGCGGCGAATAACATCGCGCTGCTCTCCAACTCGGTGGTGACACTGGTAGAGCAGTCCACCACCGAGGCAGAGGAAATCAGCAAGGCGGCCAGCACGGCGCTCACTCTGTGCGCGTCTGTCGCTGTCTCCTAGGCGAGGATTTCCACGTGGGTGACACAGATCCAGCGCCACCTCTGGCTGCAGCAGGCGTCTGTTACGGAGACGGCCAGAAAAGTGCTACTGGACGCTCCAATCAGCCCGGACGGGCTGTTCGAACCCCAGTTCCACACCATGGTGGAGTCCATGAAGACGGCCGCGGAACAGGCGGACGGCATTCGCCAGCATGTACAGCTGGCTCCAGCCTGCTGAGCGCCCACAGCGGCACCAACGCCCGCAGCAGCCGCAGCATCCACGCCGGCCACAGCAAGCGCCTCGGCATCAGACTCGCCCTTCGGCGGCTGCAGGGGCTCTGTCCCACGTCTCCGCTCCCCCGCCACCCCAGAGACAGGGTCTCCCGGCGGCGAGTCTAATGGGGCGTTTCCACTGCAGCGGGTAGCTCGCTTTAAGCGTGCCGAGCCGTGCAGGGCCCGTTTTTGGTTGCGTTTCCACTTGGCCTAGTACAATGGGGATAAGTGCATCCTCCCTTGCTCGCCTGCAGATGGTGCAAAATGCAGCAGCACGGCTACTAACTGGCACACGCAAATAC